TAGTCTTTTTAGTGAAAATGGTGGGTTTTAAAGAATTAAATTTTGGTGTTTGAATTATAAGTATAATCTAAAATTTTAAAAGGCCATAATTTTATGTTCGAATGTTTGATTGAGGTGATGATTATAGCATAATATATGTTCAGAATTTTTGTAACCACTAACAACACATACATTATATAAACGTAACTACTCGAGCCTAAAATCTGAGATAGCTCAATGAGTAATATTATATTTTACTGATTGTAGATGTATAAATACAAATCCATTCATAAATTAAAGTTTTAAATTTGTAAACTGACCTTATATTATTTTAAAATTTATTTTTCATATTTTAATTTTGTAACATTGAGTTTTTGTCTTTTTATTTAAGAATATTGGTCCTTTATTTTAACTGTTAATTGCTAACTTAATAATTATAGAAAATAAAATATTTTTTATTCTTTTACGCTTACTGTTTTATCAAATTGATCTTTAACTATAAATGTAAATTGTTAAAAAATTATGTTGTTAATTAATAATATTTTTATTTTTAAAAATTGATAATTAAATTGGTAAAAATTATAAAAATGAGAGACTAAAAGTTATTTTATCTTTTTATAATAGAAAATCAATCATTAATATTAAAATTAAATGAATAGGATTAAAAAATAATACAATTAATATTATAAAATTATAATATAAAAATTAAATTTAGATTTTAAAATAATTCAAAGTCCCCTAACTTTTTAAACCCAAAGCAAACACTACTCCCGACAGAAAGGGATATGCAAACCTAAAAGCATTAAATGGGCAGTTGAATTAGGTATGGGGTCTCATGTTAGAGTTTTTATTGTTATTTTTATATTACTCTGAAAATTTCTCACTTATTAATTTATATATTTATAAAAAATTTAACATATTTATCATAATTAATACTATACTAAATTTATCTAAAATTAATATTAAACTTGTTGAATCAAACGATTAACTCAATTCTTTTCTTTTTTATAATGATTAACTTAATTCTTAAATAAATATAATTACAATAATATTCACGTACAATAACATCTTATTTATTTTAATTTGACATGGACCGTGCAAGTTAAAATTTTTAAACTCGATTGTTAAAAATAAAAATTCAAACTCAAACCTATAAAGTAAGTATTGTTTTCTTTAGAGGTTTTGAGTTTGAGAAGATATGTCTGTATGTTGTCAATAATTAAGAAATACTTTAAACATATATTATCTCGTAATACTCAAATTAATCAAAATATAAAAAATTCAAAATTGACAACAAACCTTTTATTATCCTAATATTGAAGAAATTGACACTTATCAGTGACAAATCTACATTGTGCTTACCTCCCAAAATTTTTGATATAATAGTATTTAAAGTTTTTAATTTTACGAAAAAATAATTTTTAAGTTAGATGACTAGAATAGGAGCATGTCAAGAGTTAGATGAATAACATGCAATTTATCCTTTATATAACTATATATTTAATTAGAAGTTGGATGATTAAACATATAATTAATCCTTAGCTCTCAAAATTTTGATAAATTGGCAGATATAAATTAAATTTTAATTTTTAAAACTAAATAGTTAATCAATTTATTTTTAAGTTAAATAAATTATTCATTCAATGTTCTATAAGTATTATAAATAAATTATTAATTTTTATACAAAAGATGATAAGGATGAATTGCACTACTTAAGATTGTAAATCTATTAGATATAACATCAAATATTGAAATCTATAATTATTATCACCATTGTTTTTAACAACAAAATAGTAAATAGTTTTATTCATCAAGGACAGTGTATCCCACATCTACTTTTGTTAGGGCACTAGACAAAGCCTTTGTTTTTCATTGAGCAATTGCAAGTCAATTGACATCTTGGACTGAGTTTAATTGAAAATAATTATAGACAGTTGTGAGATATAGATATAAATTTATCTTAAATGTCATAACATTTGCTAAAATAAATATATGTCTGATGAAATAAATTAATCATTTGGGATGAGTCTAGAGTGAACTACACACAATGATGTGTACCGATATACACCACTACTATAAAAATATGGTAAAATTTATAAGTGGTCATTAAATTTATTAAAATTATTCCATTTTTCATTGAATATTTAAAAGTTATAAAATAGACATTAAACTTCGGATTTTATTGAGAAAATAGATAAGTACCATGAAATATTGTTAAGGAGTGACATGTTATGCTAAATTAGTAGGAAATATCTTATTTGGTCCCTTAATTATAACAAGAATTTTATTTTTGATATTTTTCAATATTATTAAGTAATAATTTCCAAAAGAAATTAGAAAAATTATATATTTTTAAAATATATGAATATAATTTATTTTTAAAATTAAAAATTATAATTTTTTGAAAATTTTTCATTCATCAAATTATTTTATAACTGATTATTTATTAATCGTGATTTTATTTGTAAAACTAAAAATTTATAATTTTTGAGATCCAAAAATTGAATTATCAAACAATATAATTATTTTTTATTAAACGACATGATTCAAGCACTTGACTTTTGTTTAAGAAGTTTAAACACAATTTAAAAAATGTATTAAAAAAATATAGTATCACATTAATAGGAAAAATAAATCCAAACTTAATTAAGAATAATTGAAATAGTCCTTAACTTTTAATAATGTATCAAGTAATTTATATGATATAAATTCAATATTTATAATATGACACTAAAAATAATATTTAATTTATTAAATCCATTTTATTTTCAATTCAGTGAACATAATAAAAATTATTTTAATTAAAATTAATAGTAAAATTAACTTTTTATTACAATTAAAGGGTCAAATTAGATATTTTCTACTAATTTAGCATGTTATATCACGTCTTTAATGATAGATTGTGGTGTTGTTCTATTTTTAATAAAATAAAAAGTTTAATGTCTATTGGTATCTAAAAAGATCATTTTGATATAATTTAATGTCAATTTATGAATTTTACCTTATAAAATTAGTGGTGAATATCAATGTTTGACTTTCATTCTAGAATTTTCCAACCATTTGATAGTTATTGAGTCGAATCAATCCATCAATGAATGTAATTAAGAGGAGATGAATTGTCAATAGAAAAATATGAAAGTTTTTACAAGAATTAGAAAAATGACAAAAGATATTTAGAGTGGTTCAACTTTCTTACTGAAATCTATATTCACTACTCTTAGTTTCCGCACTAAGAATTTTAACAAACTCGTTAATTTGTTTTAACAGTTTAGGACAATGTGTAACCTTACAATCCACTTACGATTTATACTCAAAATCTTAAGTGTACAACTCTTCCCAAAAAGAAATACAAATAAACATATTTTTTAGATCATAACAAGATAGTTTGTTTGCACAATCGAGGCTCTCACACGTTAAAAAAACTAGAAAAAGAATTACAATGAAACAATTAGTATTAAGTGAAAGAAAGATGAAATTGAATACAAATTGACAATTTTTAACTCTTTGATTGTTTGGAATAGTTTTCTTATTGTTCTTCGGCTGTTTCAAGACTCATTTTATATGCTCTCATTGGCTTATAACCGTTTGAAGTTGTTGGAGGAAATTTGGAGCCGTTTGAAGCATACAATTCTCGTATTTAAAGTTACATACACAAGAAATTTCGAAACTCTTGAAACTAAAATATAAATCTTTGGTCGTTGAAAACCTCAAGTTTAAAAACTTTAGTGAAAATATTGAAACTTTTTAACTCATTGTGATTGGAAGTTTCGAAATTTTTATACGAATTTTGAAACTACTTGTTTGAGTTTCGAAGCTTTCTTAAAAGTTGTGAATCTCTGGGCCAAAATTTGTTTAAAATGGTGAGTTTTGATATTTTGAGATAAATTTAACTTTAAAAAATGTTATAAAATGTTTGAATGATATTTTTGCTTAAAAAAATTGTTTTGAAAATTTGGACAAATACCAAAAAAGTCACAATAGCAATGCGACGGAGCATGATAGATACACAAACGTCGAGATACTTTTGGCCTCGGTTGCTTGAGAGAGGAAGGTAACATTGAGATCAATTCGTGTTGGAGAGATCAAAGGTTGATATGAGGGAAGAGTAATAGAAACGAAGACGAACCTAGTGATAAGAGAGAAAATTAGAACGAAAACGAGAAAGGTAGAATGATTTAAGAGACATCAGTAAAATGAATAGTTAACATATGAAAACAAAATTTTAGGGTAAACAAGACAACGCTTCCTATATACAAGTAGGCTTTTGCCTCCGAATGGAAGTCAAAATCTTATCAAGAATAAAAAGAGAAGTGTAACTTTTCAAAGCATACGAAGAAATTCCCTGCCAGTCTTTCAAGGGGAGATGCCTTTTCATTTGGATGGCCAATATTTAACTACTTTATTCTTAATATTTAAATAATTTTATTTATTTATTTATTAAATAATTTTAATAAAAATGTATACACACCATACAAATAATATTACTTGAACAAAGATCTCCTAAAAAAATTATTACTTTCATATCAAAATTGTTTATTAAACAATATAATATTATAGTAATTTAACTTTTTAATCAAATATATAATAAACAATTATTTAAAATATAATATTATGATGATGCTTTATAAGATTCTCCAATCCAAAAATAACTTGTGAAATTTGATTTAACTGCCACTTTCAAAAGAACCTTTTTTATATAAAAAATAATAATCTACCACTTTAATTTTGTCCATTCGAATATATATATATATATATATATATATATATATATATATATATATATATATATATATATATATATATATATATATGGAAAAAGAGAAATGACATGGACATGAGAGGAGGATAGGAGGCACAAGCCCTCCATTATAAAGATTCCTTTGGGACTTTTCTCCGTTTCTTTCATGCATATGTGGACCTTACATAACCAGTATGCACTATTTCAATATGCTTCCCCCATCTATAAATACATCTCCACCGGAACATACCAAATCCATTGCAAGCTAACCTCAACAACTACTAAAAACACCCTTAAGCTTTCCCCGTTCAGAAACTTCCCAGATTCACCATGTCTGACAAGTGCGGCAACTGCGACTGCTCCGACAGCAGCCAGTGCACGTAAGTAATCCATTTCATCCATGATGCTGTTAGGGTTGTGTTGTTTGTGACCATGTCTTAATGAGTATTCAACATGTTGTGTTGTGTGTGTTATGTTGTTTCTTCATGTTCATTTTATGTCAAAGGTACCAAAACTAAGGGTCTTTCGTGCTTTATCTATGCCTACAGGAAGAAGGGAAACACCTTCGTCATTGAGACTGAGAAGAGGTATACTTTCAGTTTTCAAGAGCTCTGAATCTCTAACATTTGCAAATCTTACACAGAAACTTACATTTTCGATATAATATGGTAATTATAATATGTTGTGTCGCTTATTTGCAGCTACATCAACACTGTTGTGATGGATGCTCCAGCCGAGAACGATGGCAACTGCAAGTGCGGGGCTAACTGCAGCTGCACCAACTGCACATGTGGCCATTAAGCTAACATAGAGAAAATGTCATGGTTTATATCATGGCAAGATCTTAAAGAAAATAATAAATTTGGGTTGAATAATTTGTGTCTTCTGTTGTAGTTCGTGCTTGTTTCATTTCTGTCTGTCTGTGTTTCCTTATTTACTGTGATCTAATGGTCATGTCCATGGCCTTATCTGCTTAATGAAGTATTATTAGTATAAATCTCTCTCTCTCTCTCTCTCTCTCTCTAATAATCTTTCTTTGATAAAACTCAATTATTAAACAGCCTTTCAAGATTTCAAAGATAGTAGCTTTATCAATCAAGGGTTAAGAGAATCAGACCAGACATAAAGATATAAACAAGACAAGAATCTGTTCTCCATTGTTATTCATCAAAATATTAACCAGTATAAGTGGCAAACAAAAGTAGTGTCAGTTTCAAAAGATTCCACAAGGCCAAACAGCCTCACAAGATAGAAATGAATCCAAGTCCAACAGCTAAGAAACTGTATTTTTTCATTGTTTCCTAGATTTTTCAGATCATATCTTTGTAAATGTTTTTATTCTATAAACTTTGTGTCAATCTCAACCATTGAAGCCCTCTGCACGGAGGCATGAGCGATGAGCCTCTACCCATTTTGCACAAGCTTCTTCACCGTGCTCGATGATGCATTCATCTCTGAGCTTCTTTGTCTCAGGGCAAGCACAACAAATTTTCTTCTTTGGCTTTGGTTCTGCAGCTGGTGTTGCTTTTGCTGTTTCCTGATTTTGCTGCAAGCCAGGCGAAGCTAAGGCAGAACTATTTTGTGTAGGCAGGCAGTCCACCCATTTTTCCTGGCAAAGCTAAGCCAGTGAACATATCAGCAAAAACAGAATCAAATTTTCCGCCTTCAGGCGCAAGAAAAACGAAGGAATTTCATCATAAAGCCGAAGGAAATCAACATTGGACTTAAAAACAGGATTGTGAAATCAAATTTACACTGTATGATGTTCAATTAATAAATATTGTGAAAGCAAACGCACGCCTAACAAAACAATATGATGTTCCAGGAATAATTACTTTCAGCAGAAAATGATGTTGATGGTTGGTTTGCATTGCAGCATTCAACTAGACAGCATGAATCAAATCATCGGCTCTCCAAATACCACCCAACGGAAGTTCAATCCAAGTCATGTTGCACTTTGATGCCTCAACACACTTACGGTAGAGTATCGACCGCCTTGGAGATGTGCTGCCATAAAATCTAACTTTGGGATGCTTCAAAGTAGCAGAAGCGAATATGGTATTTGCTAATACACTTGTTTCCCCCACTGCTGGAACAGAGAAAGAAGTGCACCCGATAAACAACACCGGTTATTCAAATCATTTTCATAAACCCAATCCATCTTTGAAAAATCAAGCTTAAGGAGTTCCAAAGATGAGCTATCAGACAACAGTTACAGATCTGCACCAGACAATTGATTTTAGCATAGAGCAAACTACTTTGTGAGAGTGGACAATGATCAACCAGAATAGTCCACCCTTTAAGTTCAAGATGGCTGTAAAAGAGGTTGCTTCTTGGAAAGCTAAACCTGCAGTTTCGGAAATAATAATAATAATAATAATCGAAATTTGGGGAAGTTAAATCAATCACTCGAACAAAACTCACACATTGTGTTAGGAGCTTTGGATTAGAGGTATGAATGGTGGACCGGCATCGAAGCGAACCACCGATTAAGGCTCGTTGAGTATTGAAATTGCCCTACCCATGAAACAACTATAAATTAAGAACAAAGAATACCCAACTTTATTTGTTGGGTTGTTAGCCCATTACATCGTTTCAGTCCAAATATAACAAATTCCCAGGGTTTTTGCCCATTAGGCCAGGCGGTATATTTAATTGGCCCACTAGGCCACCCTAATTTTTATTTTGCAATCTATGACAAACGCAACAATGCAAGGCAAACTAGTCCTGTCGACGTGATGAGTTTTCTGAAAATAGTTTTAAATGGTTTCAGGTAAGTGGATCCCATGTGGACCAATATTATATATTGTATGAACTCGTCACGTCAATGAAAAGTTATTTTTAAACTAAGTAATTAATTTTAAAATTATAATAAATTTTAAAAAATAAAACTCGTCACGTCAACGTGACGAGTTTCGTTGAATTTCTTTTAAAAAATAATTTTAAAAATAATTTATTACAAAATAATAATAAAAGTTTTTTAAACTAATACAATCCCTAACAAAATTACTTATATTTTCATAAATATTGACTACGTCGAGGAGTGGTCGAATGATAATGGTGTGGGGATCGTCGATTTCATCTTGGTCGTCCGCCTTGATCGTCTTCATCTTCGTTTGCTTCTTCAACAAGAGGTGTACTGAACATCATTCCACTTTAAGATTCACCTTTGAAATACGATGATGGAATACTTAAGGTATTTGACGCCAACATTATAGTCATTGACTCGAATTGGCCACCGAAATCAGTACATTGTTGACCATATATATTATGATCTCATTTACTCGCATGTTCTATCGAAGATGCTTGAGCGTTTTGCATTACATCCCACGAACCTCCAACACAATTCGACTAACTCTCCATTGAAGCATGATATGGATGATAAAAACCATAACTGGTATGAGATGCAAAATATTCAATAGAAGCAGAAGAAGAAAATGCCCATAATGATATTTCTTGCCCTTTGCGTATTTCGCCTTCATTTCTTCCCATTGTTCCCTTTCTTTTCGTGTTGTTAAATATGATTTCTTATTTGCTTCATAATTTGGGAGGTAGGGAGAAATGTCGAAATCAAGATTAGTAGCTATAGCTCGAAATGCATAGGGGCATATAGATGTAGCTTATTTCATTATTGAATGTTACATCATGCTTCCTTGGCCAATTCTCTTGATGCTTGCCACGCATATTAATTCTATGGAGCACGTCCATATCATATATTTGTATAAGAATTGGTTGATGGGACGCAAACTGGCGCAACACTCTATCTACGGCGTGCATCTCAACAATCACAAAATGAAGCAAAGGCATTACGACACCACAACTTCGAGCCTTCAAAAAAATACCGGTGGTTGTAAGTGATAAATCTCCTCGTCACAATAAATAATCCAACAAAATTGTAAACAGTAATTAAATTATAAAAGTTACTATAAATTATAAATAAATGAAAATTCAAGTAGTTTATTAAAATAATATTTATTGCATGTTGACCGACAATATCGATCCTCATTCGTATATCAATTTTATTTACACCCGACAACTTGGTCTTGAAAATTTTATGTTGTCATCTAAATCATATAATAAATAAAAATTTAGAAATAAGGATAAAACTAAAATTAAAAATTTACTAAAAATAAAGTTAAAAAATACATTCCAGCTAGAGAAAACTCAACCGGGGCTACTGTAATTAGTGTAAAAAACAAGAATCGATACCACGCTCAAGACTGTAGCAAGACTAGGCAACCCGTTACATCGACTTTTTGACCCCTTTTTAACAATTGCAACTTTGCAAAGTTCCTGCTATAAAAATATCAAAATCGCCAAGCCCCAACTAGTGTTACAACACTCAATAAAATTGAATGAGGTGATGTTAGCTTGAGGCAGTGGTTAGATAAACCAGAAAGATCTGTTGATGTCTTTGAGTGTTTGCACATATTTAGGAAGTTGAGATTGTAAATATAGCACATTCTCAAGGGATTGTTCTCCATAATGGTCGACCTTCGTGCTTCGTCATGTCATCGTTTAATCATGTTTCCTTCATCGAATCTGCATCTTCTTCGGATTCGGGATCTGATTCTGTTGAGGATGCATTAAATAGCCAAAATATGAAGCTTAAGGGTTCATCCTCTACATTTCCCCTTGACATGCATCAGCAACGTAGGCTGATGAATGAAGATGTGCAAACTCCAACAAATGCTTTATCTGAAGCTAGTTGCATGCAGTCAGGCTCAGTATGTTCGAGGAATGCACGTTTAAAGGAGTGCGAAAATAAAATCTTGGACTGTCAAAATTCTGAACAAGTAGAAGAGAAAAAGCAACCGTTTCCCATGGAACAGATATTGCTTATGGAGACCAGTTGGTACACTAGTCCTGTAGAGGTTGCTGGATCTCCCTGTACCTGTGCTTCCGACATCTATAGGTTGGGAATTCTCCTTTTTGAGGTTAGTTTCGAGAATGCTCGATACTATCATCGTTTTTTCAACTTTTGAAATAGTTTGGTGTTGTTAACTTAACATTTGTGTTATTAGTTAATGCTTGATTAAACTCCAAGATGTCTACTTTTTTTAATTAATTACTGTTCCTTCATTGGGTTGAATATTAAAACCATTTCGTTGTATCACTTTAAACTTTTTTGTTTCTGTATCTGCAGTTATTTTGCCCCTTCAGCTAAAGAGAAGAGAAGAATGGAACTATGTATAGTTTACGGCATCGAGTTCTTCCTCCACAGTTGCTACTGAAATGGCCGAAGGAAGCTTTGTTTTGTTTGTGGTTATTGCATCCCGAGCCAAGTAGTCGTCCAAAAATGGGGTAATCTCTCGGTTTTAAATCTTATGGTCTGGTATTAAAGGCACATGTTAGAAACACACATTGTATAGGTGTAGCTGTGTAGGTGTACTTGTAACCGGTAATGCGATAAAGCCTTGCACATTTTCTCGGTTTTTCTGATGAATAATGGTGTGTTTCATAATGGTGAAAGTAAATATCATCCACTACCTGAAATCACTTTTATGTCACCATTGCTGTTCAATATATAGTCGTAGTGTGATCTATTTGCATCATTGGCGCATAAAGAAATTATTTCGGTTTGGAGTTCCAACTTTTGTTTATAATAGTTTCAATGTATTAGTATTTTTTTTGCGTAACAGTGAGTTGTTACAAAGTGAGTTTCTTAATGAAACGAGTGATGATCTGGAATAACGTGAAGCGGCAATCGTGCTCCGGGAGAGAATAGATGAGCAAGAGTTACTGATGGAATTTCTTTTGATGATACAACGAAGGAAACAGGAAGTCGCCGATTGGTTGCAAGTTACTATTTCTTTTCTATGTTCCGACATTGCAGAAGTTACGAAGCAGCAAACAATCTTGAAGAAAAAGAGTAGCTCATATGCTGAACCAGGGAAAGATGACAATTCTACATCGAATCTTCCCTCGATAATTATTGTCAATACCGATGATTCTTCTAGCTTGGGGTCTAGAAAATGATTTAGACCTTACTTAAGGTTCAAAATGTTGAAGAATGTGGCGATAATCTAGAAACTCGTCAAAAGTCTGATACACACGCTGATATTCAAGAAAGTTTTCTTCTGAAAAGTTCTCGGTTGATGAAAAACTTTAAGAAATTCGAGTCAGCATATTTTTTAACAAGGTGCAGACCAGTGAAGCAATCTGGGAAGCCTTTGAGTAGACAAACATCATTGAATAGTGATGGCCGAGGAACTATTGTTATGACTGAAAGAAGTTCTGTCAACAATTTAACATCGAAAGAGATCTAAACCGAGAGCTTGAAAAGTGGATGGATAAATCCATTCCTTGAGGGTTTGTGCAAGTACCTGTCTTACAGCAAGTTAAAAGTCAAGGCAAATTTGAAACAAGGAGATCTATTAAATTCTTCCAATCTGGTATGCTCACTTGGGTTCGATCGTGATGCAGAATTTTTTTCTACAGCTGGTGTAAATAAGAAGATTAAAGTCTTTGAATGTGATGCGATCATAAATCAAAATCGTGACATCCACTATCCCGTGGTTGAAATGGCCAGTCGGTCGAAGCTAAGCAGTATATGTTGGAATAGTTATATTAAAAGCCAGATTGCATCGAGTAACTTTGAAGGAGTGGTGCAGGTTGTTAAAGCCTTCATTTAGCATTCTTTGGTCTGTCGTCTTTTTCTGTATTCTAAATCCATGTCTTGATCATTTCAGGTGTGGGATGTTACAAGAAGTCAAGTGCTCACTGAAATGATAGAGCATGAGAAACGTGTATGGTCCATCGACTTTTCATCAGCAGATCCAACAGTTTTGGCTAGCGGAAGTGACGACGGCTCTGTAAAGCTATGGAGTATCAACCAGGCAATTCTACTTTTGCATTTGATGGATGTCAGCTTTGAAAATAAACGTACTACAATAATCTAATTTCTTTATGTGTATATTTTTTTTCTCGATGTATGATAAGTTTTTTCTCTTACCTGGGCTGCTACTGCAGGGAACAAGTATTTGTACCATCAAAACGAAGGCCAATGTCTGCTGTGTCCAGTTTCCTGTTGACTCTGCCGTTCTCTTGCATTTGGATCGGCAGATTACAGAATCTATTATTACGATCTTCGAACCTCTAGGGTTCCTCTCTGCACTCTAGTTGGACACAACAAAACTGTGAGTTACATCAAATTTGTCGATGCAAATACTCTTGTGTCTTCTTCCACGTATAACACGTTGAAGCTTTGGGGTTTGTCGATGTGCAATTCTATGGTTATCGATGCTCCCCTTCAATCCTTTACTGGCCACATGAATGTAAAAGTATATTAACTCATCCATCATATTGAGCTTTTAATGCTTCTTACATTACAATGTCGAATTTGTTTCGACTTGAATGGTACGCTAAGTGCATTTGTTTTCTTATAGGTAATAGTAGGATTCACCATAGCTGCGTATGTTGCAATGAATATAAAAATTCTGAAAAATTTATTCGGTTTGCCCGAGTTTGGTTTTATCCTCATGAACAATGACTCTTCTCGGCATAACTTGTCATGGAAAATTATTCCCACTGGTTGATGTACTTCATATTGTTGGTGCATATTCTCCTTGTTGCAGAACTTCGTGGGCCTGTCGGTATCCGATGGCTACATTGCTACTGGCTCAGAAACTAATGAGGTCTAATAGCTGAAGACGTTAAAAGCTTATTTTGAATATTACATGGAGTCTGTAGAATGTTTCGCTTTATTTTTTTTGTCAGATGAGGCATTGATTCGAACTCACTGTAAACTGTATCGTATAGGTATTCATATACCATAAGGCTTTCCCGATGCTAGCATTGTCTTTCAAGTTCAACAACATGGATCCGCTTTCCGGAGATGAAACAGATGATGCCGCACAGTTTATCTCTTCAGTTTGTTGGCGTGGCCAGTCCCCTGCCTTAGTTGCTGCAAATTCTACCGGGAATATCAAAATTCTGGAGATGGTTTAGTTTGGTCTCGTCTCGGAATCATCCATGGTCGAAGCAAAGACCAACAAAATCCATGCTCCATGCCGGCACGAAACATCGAATAAAGATGAGTATCAGACATTGGAGAGTATTAAAGAGTATAGCATTTGAGAGGGAAAAAAACATTTTTGGCTGTAGATGATAACAGATGCAATATATGTAGAAAAATTCAAAAGAAAAAACAAAGGACAAATCAATCCTCTTGTATATTTTGTAATGCTTATAGTTCATAATCATTTTAGCAAGGATTTTTTATTTTCTGATCCATTACAGTCTGCCATTTCTTGATGAAGCTATTTATAAATACTCCTATCTTAGTCACGAGGACGATGACCCGAACATGAACCGAAATTCCTTAAACCAAATCCAAAACTATTCAAATAAAAGCTCAAAACAATATAAGATTCAATAGGTCAAATTATCAGTGTTCTTATTGAAGTTCTATTAGATACAAATGTTTCAGCTGTTGTATGCCTCATTAATGGGACTTCTCCATTAGACCTATCTACATTGATCTTGACCATTGCTTGCATAACCAACCTAGTTACAAGTTGGTTAAGCCTTTGAGCTCCTGGACCTGGTCTGATAATGTTTGAGTCCCCAACTTCCGTACATGTCGGTTTGGTGGAACACCAATCGCCTGGATTGAAGCTTCTGTTTTCCCTGCCAAGCAAATCCGTATCAATCTTGTCCAAGACAGGATCATCGTGTATGAATTTCCGTGCAAATGGCGCATTACTTCTAATAATCTTATCCGTGTCGTTAATGTTAAGGAAGTGCGGGTGTTGTTTTGGGGGAGTATCCCACGAAATATAATGCATATCTTGGTTGACAACCGTCTTTGCAAACTCCGGAACATTGCATACGACCGTCTGAAAGTAGCCTTCAGGGGAGGATACAGTTTGTGTAGTACATGAGAAGTATTCTTGGTAGATTATCCCAACCCCAAACACAGAATTCTACGAATGAACGAGACAGAACCATCCATGCCAAACCTGCCATCGAGGAAGGTGTTTTAAAATGTACACGCGGTTTTCAGACAAAAAGGAGATTTTTCTTTTAAGAACAAGGATCGATCCATCTGCATGGTAAGTCGATGCAAATATGTTTCCAATATGTTTCAGCATGGGTAGCTTGATGATCCTAATCTGTAGCTAACTTAACTCAAACACACCCATAGCTTCAAATATTCTAGATTGAAAAAAGAAGGATTACCGGTCTTCATACGAGATCCGGAACAATAATCTGATAAGCCTAAAAGATTAAACAACTAAAGATGCAAAGAATTAAGAGCAGAAATTAAATGAAATCAGGCTAAGACAGAGTAGCAAACCAGTGAATAATTTAAATGCTGTAGGCAATGCTCTTCGAGGTGTGGCCGGATATATATCAGACTTTGTTGACATATAGAGTCCAGGATCTACAATCAAAGGCATAGCTCTTTGACCCCTGCAGAAATAAGGCAAAACATTTTGGCATTGTAGACATAAGTATAGATTTTCCGAATCGGGAGGGAACGGGGTAGAGATCTTACGCTTTCCAACCAAGATTGCTTGTGTGCTCAATAAAATTAAGGTCCCGGCTTAAATTCGTAAATGTATAAATAAGATCTGTAAATCACAAACTAATCGATCAACAGTTGCTTGAGCAGAATAGAACAACTTGAAACTCGAAAGAAGATCCACTACCCCAAAATAAAGGCATGCGATAGAAACTAACCATCTTGAATCACTAAAGGATAATCTGATGCACTGAGATTGATAAACCAATCCCAATCTTTATTTCTCTTAAGAAGAATGGCACAAGCATGAAGTGTATTAGCAACCATTGTAGGCCCTCTGTAAGTAATCATATTAGCCTTAGTGATCATATAAACATTCCCAACTTTAGAGAAAATAGTATGGTTATCGATTCGAGAAGCAAGCGCCATTCTTTCCTCTGGAGGCGCCTCAAGATCCAAATGAACCACATATTCATTCCGCGGATGATACAGGGCATGAAGGGTTCTCCAAAGATTTCCAGATCTCCTTTTGATCCAGAAACCAAATAAGCAAAACGAGGTAACGTCGGATGATATAGGTTAAATTATATGGTTAGTATTTATTGAACGATCATAATGATAAAAATTATTTTTTAGAAAATTCGATTTTAAGTACAAGGTGTCCATGAAATATAAATAAAGTTAAGAAATTTTTAAATATAAATTATATTGTAATCA